CATGTCTGGCAAAGGAGTATTATATTTCAGTAGCCTAATGGCAAAAGGCTTTGTGTTTGCATTTTCTCTTCCTGGCAATCTCTGCCATTACAGTGCAGCTTGCTCATTATTCCCCTAAATTACCAAGTTTCTGCTTTAGTCAATTGTCTACATCAAATATTGTCAGTGTTGCACAATATTCAGTTCTATGCCAAAAGAGAACGTCAGGAAGTCACACCAGCTACATTGGAAATGAAACACACTTCCCCAGTTTTCCACATTTAATTCACAATGGTAGCTGTTTACTTGGCTCCCAATTTGCTACATTATAGTAAGTGTCTCTTTTGAGGCAGGGAGAGAGGGAAAGGGCTATTTTAATAAGTAAGGATATTCAATATCAGACTACATGCTCAACTACCGCTAAAGTTTTATTATTTTTTGTTAAGAGGACTTTCACAGTTTACCTTAAAAGGGCAGGAAACTGAGATGTTGGGGCCCCTCTTAACTGTTAAAGTAGGCTTCAGTTGTCTTTTACTAGGTGAGATGCCTGTTACCAGATGAAGGATTCAATCCAGTGAAAACTTAGCCTCACAACCAGGGTCTGAAACTGAACAATCTCCAAAAAAGATTTAAATATAGAATATAAAGCTATTTCCTGTTTTCAGATACTCTGTCTATAAGAAATACCTATGTCTATATTAAATATAGCAAAAGGGAAATTCAAAAGCTTTATCGTTCAGATGCTAAATGTGGCATTGGATATTGTAGCTCGGTTGATAAGCAAGTGCCCGGCCTTCTTGCATGTACAAAGGCCTTGTTTCATACCTGGCACAGGCCTATAAGCAAAGCACTTGGGAGACAGGCAAGAGAATCAAAGTGCAAACCTGTCCTCCACTGTATGCATTTAAGGTCAGCCGGGCATACATGAGACCCTGTCTCAAAAACTGGGGACACAGGTGGGGACAGAACCCTTGTTGCTATGCTATGCTATGCTATGCTATGCTATGCTATGCTATGCTCTTGAGATTCAACAATCCATTCTTACACTATGAAAGTAAACTCCCTTGGAGATGTTCTGTTCCCTGCTCCTGGGACAGCAGAGGAGGATACCAGAAACTAAAAGGTGGACATCTTTCTCTGCTGTCTGCTGAGCAGGAATATAGGTCATTGAGATCAGCTGGCATCTCATCTTTATCTGTCCTCCTTTCAGTGGGGATGTTAATGAGCTGAGGACATGGTCTCTACCGAAATATACATAAAAGACAGTGCATTCACTAAGTAACTTGAAAATCGATATTCCCCACCTCACCTCAACCTGCCCTAGCTGTTCTGCCATCCAGACTTACAAGCCACAAACAGAAACAAAAGACCACTGAAATGGTACCTATGAGCTCAAAAAAAAAAAAAAAAAAAAGGATGTTGGAAGTATTTGACTAAGATACTAACTGGAAAGCTTTCCTCCATCACCAAATTAACACCAGAACAAGTGACAGCAATTCATAACTCTTATCCCAAGGGGTGGGGAGGACACTTTCATTTTGACTAAGTGCCCTGTAGAGAAAACAAGTTTGGCAACCCAAATTGGCAAAGTTTTGTTTTTTCCTGAACTAATGGAATACAGACCTAAGATTTGGAAACACAAGACTACAGGAGCTAGGAAAGACTCCCATCCCAGTGACAAATTCTGTGGATCATTTCTGAACCAAACACCTGAAGCTCAGTGGTACCTAGCTTTGTGGGAAAGCCTTGTTCCCTCTTATCCAGCTGTAACTTTGAAGTGTTTTCACAGAAGAATCCGAGATTCTCAAGCCAAAGCCATACTCTAAATATTTACAAAATGAAACTATTTCAGTCTTAACTGTGTTGTTCTTAAGCACCTATTTGTCGGGAGAACCATGTTACCAACACTAAAGACAGGCTCTTTAAACAAAGTAGCTCAAATAAAACTATCCACAAGCACATTCTCAACACTCAGAACTACCTGCCAAGAAGAGAAAGAAAGGCAGGTTTCAAATTTCACCCAAGGATGTGACTGACCGACCCATCATGCTTCTCTATCACCCTTCTCAAGATGGTTCAGAATCCAGACCCACCAGATTTGACCACTGCATAACACCTTAACCAATACTAAACAAATGTCCTTTCCTAGGAATGGCCTGGAACAGATCCTGTTTATAGAACAACTCTGCCCCAGATGACAAGGCTGCGGTCTCCCAGCAACTCCAGCAGCCACTGGTGGACTGACAAAAGCTTCTAGCTATCTTTGCCTTGTCTTTCTCCGCGGTTTTCTGCCATACACCTTCTGGGAACATTATCTGGGCCAAGGAGAGTACAGCTAATAAAAGTATCTAGTTTAGTATACTAAGAAACTATAGCAATAACCTATGTAGGTGAATGCATTCTAAAAGAAATTATAAAATAACAAAATAAATCATCTTTACACTCATGGAAAGAATTGTAGTAAGATGTGTTGACAAAAAAAAAACACAGGGAAAGTATTACAACAAATTACATAACTATCAGGAGACAGTATACAGTTCTTGGATTTCCAATCCTCCTTAATATTCAACTAACAAATGCTTATTAAAGAAACCTGTTCCAAATTCTGGAAAGACTGAGAAGACAAAGAGCCTGCATTCAAGGAGTTTAGCACACAGAGCAAAGACAAATAAGATAATAAAAGAAGGACATTTTCCCCATTATGATAAATCCTAGAACAAAAAAAATATAATAATAAAAGAGTGAAAACTTCTGGTATTGCTGCCTTACAGGGATGTAACCACCTACTTAAGACAAAATATGAGTGTTAACCACTTGGCACAGCAACCCAAGCATTAACCTGTACATGAATACACTCTCATAGAAACTCCTATATTCACCACTCCCCATTCTTGAGAGAGAACACACACAGGATAAAATGCAAGCAGACAATGGTAAACAAACATCTTAATATAATTTAGTTGCCTTTTGTTCAATTAAGTTACAAATAACTACATTCATCAAGGCTCTGCAAACCACAAAATGTAAACAACTAATTGTGACTAGAACATAAAAGCCCAGATGCTTAAGATAATAGTACTATCAAGTGTACTGCAAATTTGAAAATAGTACTTACAGCTACCTTGTCCATTTTTCAACAGCACCCCAAGGATCTTGGTTTTGGGGTCAGCAACACAAACTGAATGCTACAATGTCAGAGCTCAGTTTAAACCTTGTGCTATTGGGAGGAGGGGTCATTTTCAGAGTTGCAAGACTTTAAACCTAGAATCAGCATTAGGTATTCTTTGAACTAGCCTGTCCACACTATCAGTGAGATGACAGGTGCCCCAGAGGTAATGGTTTAGTCCACGACTAGAGAGAGGTGGTACTACAGGATCTAGAGCTCTGAGTTTCAGCATCCAAAGTAAGGACCATCAGCAGCTGGACTTTGGACTTTATGAAAAATATTGTGACAACTGTGCTCCCACGCTTCAATTTCAGTTATTAATTGCTCTGTCATTTTCAGGTAATGACACCTCAGGCTATTTTCTGACCAGGGAGCAGTGTAGGTCTGGGCAGAGTGACCTTGTTAAGAAAACTGCTTCCAACACTATTAACTGTGGCAATGACGGAAAGATACAGTTGTTCACTTGATGCAGGAAAGACATCTTCCAAATTTAGTTTGCCTCAGAACAAAGCCCCAGACAATTCCTTTTGAGAAGATGTATCAGCACGAGGGAGGGAAAGGGGTCCAAAGAGGGTGTCCAAGCTAGGTAGGAGAGAACAGGGGGAGTCCCAGAGCTGCCAGAAGGGTGAGGAAGAGGGAGCAGCTGGACTTAAGGCAAACATTTGACCACACCCCCGGCCACGCCCTCCCAGCTGCCCGCAGAGCCACAACGAATTGAAACAGCAGTGCGAGCTGTTAAGATTCCGAAGGCAGAAGTCGCCATGGCAACCGGATTCGTCTTGCAGGCAAACTGCTTCAATTCACTAGGTCCGGCTCGAATCTCAAGAAACTACCAATTCAATGAGGGCAAAACGGTCACGGGCAGCATTTGCTATGGAAGCTCTATGAAGGCTGATGATGGGAGAGAGGGACTAGAGAGCAAAATTCAATCCCTGAGCACAGTAAAACATGTTATGCGGAGGGACAGAACGCCCCAAACCTTGGCTGTAAGGAACGTGCAAAAGACCTCAGAAGGGTCTGATGAACGTGTGAGTAAACAAACGAATGAAACTGACGGAGAAAGGGGAGAGCAAATCCAGAAGGACTTCAGAGTTGTCGCGCCGGGCCTCGCCTCGGTCTCCTCTCCAGTCAGGAGACAAGCCAATCACAAACAGCTGGTTTGGGGCACCAGTTGGATAAACCCGATTATCCAGCCCTCCTGCCCCCACAGCGAGCCTTATCCTTAGGTTATCCTCCACCCGGTCACCCCCAGGGTTATAGGGAAGGCGTTTAGCCCCCGCCCAGGTAGGTGCCCTTTACAGGCTCGATTCGGCAGAGCCAAGACTGAGATGTGCCCCTCCGAAGCAGGGCGCGGGGAGCCGGGTCAGGTCCCCGGGAGGCGCATCTCCCCGCGCTGCCGCCAGCCGCCAGCTCGCGGCCTCCGCAACGCCGGGTTTCCCTCTCTCTCAACACATAGTAAGCAGGGCCACTGTGGATTACAGTCACTCCCCCCCGTTTCAAGTACGGCTTGACCAGAAGGTGCCAGGGACGGCGAGGGACTCTCGGCCACCACGGAGCCCACAATACTACAGAGCCAGCGGCCCAGGAGCGCCGCCCGCTGCCGCAGCTCCCGCAGCCCTGGCCCCGGGGAACCCTCGGCCGGGAGGCGGGCGAGCTGTACCCGGCCGGTTCTACTACCACAGATAGTCTAGGAAAGAAAGAAGGGAGGGACCCCATCCTCAGGGACGCCTTCCTTCAGGTTCGCCTCGCTCCGTGCCGCGCTGCAGCCATTTTCCAGAGCCTAGTTTGGCAGCCCGTAGCAGTCTCGGTCCCGTTCCCACCCAGACCCAACCTGAAGGACGAGTTTAATATTTACCTACTGGCCCGGGAGCTCCGGGAAGCAGCAGGAAGGAGCGCCGCCAACAGCGCGAGGAACCAGCACGCCCACCCCGCGCCACGGTGCGGTGCCGCTAATGAATGAGTACGGCGGGCGAGCCGAGGCGTCCCCTCACCTGAGCAGCTGCTGCATGCTGAAAAGGCCGCTCTGCGTTCCCGGTACAATGGGATCCGGTTAAACAGTTCCCTTCACAGCCGCTCGTAGGTTACCAACTCGCAGGTGACATCACCCTCGCCTCGCCTGATAGGATACGATGTGGCGTCCACTGCGCATGGGACGCCCTGACCAGGCCCTTTGGATTCTGGGAGTTGTAGTGTAAATCATTGCACACAGAGCCAAAATAGCCTCTCCGTCCTCGCCCCGCAAGAACTACATTTCCCGAGGTGCCGCTCTTCCCCTCTGTGCCCGCCCCCTCCCCGCCCCTTCGGACCCGCCCCCTCCCCGCCCTCCAGTCGAGCAGTGCCTGCGGTGGTCGTTCAGAAACCAAGCTGCAAACCGCTTGGCCGAGAGGGAGGGGCACCCAGCGGCCGTGCCCTTTGACTTGACCTCTGTTCCTGCCAACGAGAGGGTAGGCGGCGGGACCAAGGGACGTCCAGAACTCGCTCACACCTACTGGGCACTTCTGATCCACTGGGCTCTCCTGCCCCCAGCTGGGAAGGGTCCATAAAAGCCTTTCTCTGCTTCTCCTCAAAGCCACTAATTCATAGGACTCCAGGGGTTCTGTCTGGGTTGAATACCGAGCCTGTTTTTCCCCCTGTCCCCAAGGATCAAACAACGCCAGTCGTGAAAGGGAGGAATCCCCTTGCACACCACTGGGCTCAATTCACCTTTCTCCTCTCTTTCCATCTCCCCCTTTTTAACCAAGACCGAGTAGCCAAACAGAAAGACAGGAACAGCTTAGTCGGCTGACCTGACAGAAAAACTGGCGGCTGTCACTAATGAAAATGCAGTGTAGTAGAAAACAGAGACAGTCACCACAAGCCTGCGTCCGCGAGCCTGCTGCTGTGGAGATAATGCTATCGCAAAGCCATGCTTTTGTTCATCTCTGAAGAGACTTCCCGCCCTGGTGGCTCACAGCTCCTCCGAAGACGGCATGCAGGTCTAAAAGTTTTAGTTAATTATGCATTCATAAAATTTAAAATCCGCAACACTGCCTCCACCCTCGCTCCCCACACGTTTCCTTTTAAAACTGTAATTTTTTTTAAACCTTAAAGTAAACAGTATCCTGCAAGGATTGCCCCGATCTTCAGACACCTAAATGTGTAAGCAAAGGGTGGGTAGTGGAATTCTGACCCTTCTAGCTGTTTTGGCTTTAATACATAAAAGTTTTCTGTGTCGTTATCCCCTTCAATGAATACAAAACTTGAAAAATTAACAAGAGGAGCAAATCTCCAGGTGTCTTTTTACAAGAAAAAAATGCATTTATTTATTCAGCTTTCAGTGGTACTGCTATGATGAGCTCACATGCCCACTTCCACCAGCAAAATTAAGATTTCACTTCTTAGGAAATGAAGATTGACAATTAAAATCTCCAGCAACTCTTCTCCTAATTGCTGGTTGAACATCATCACTCACCTCCCCTTTTCATCTTGAAACACTAAGGTTCAAGTGAAGCATATTCTTGGATGACAATCCCAGAGAAAAGATAGCTTTGTGAAAGAGGAGGCTTACTGCTGAATTCTCATTTTCTTTTGACAAGCCTACTCTGTCCAGATCAAACCCATTTTCCTCCGTGGAAGCAGCATAACTCTGTTGCTCTTCTGATCTACTCAGTCCATCTCAAATATTATCTTAAATGGAACCCAGACAGCACAAATGTTCCTTTGGCCATCAGACCAAGGAGACAAGCAGTGATGCTCTAGCTAATGGGTAGGCTTAATGTATTGCATAGTTTGCTGTGGGAAAATATTCAGAAAGAAACCGGACCTGGGATGATTCTAAAGGCTCCTCGAATCTTATAACTGCGGAAAGCTTTTAGGTGGAAACATAAGCAGTGAGCTTGAAATTTACTGAGTCAATAAATTTAACTTGGAACCTTTCTATCAGGCAAGGTTTATCCTTGTGGATGAAAGCATACTGTTAAGGCACACTCAGGGAAATAATTTTCTAGAAGAAATTACCTTTCAGCAAGCTCTCTTGGTTCTTAGCAACAAAGAAAAGGAATAGACTCTTACCCAAAGCAAAAGAATCCATTCTCTATAACAGTATTTCAGGGTGTGTCATGTAGCACAGCTGATCTCCAGATAGAAAGCACAGTCTGTATAATAGATAAAACAGAGGGGTGTGTGTATGTGTGTATGTGTGTGTGTATGTGTGTGTGTAGATGTGAGCTTTCATCAAACAACTCTAAATATATATAATAGATAGAAGGCTTGCTATTTGAAAATGGTTTTCTGTAAGTGGTGATAGATTTAAACTGATCCCTGCACACTGTTGGATTGGTAACCAAGGGAAACAAGATGGCTCTTTAGCATCAGAAATGCTGTCTGTGAACCTGAAATCAGTGGAAGCCTAAACTCTTCCATGTTCCATGATGGCATAGAGGAATCACACACACACACACACACACACACACACACACACACACACACACACCACACATTTTCACACACTCATTGTAATGTCTGTATTTAATTCTCTCTGTGAGACTCAGTCTCAGAAGCCATGAAAAGCCTTCATTCTTTCTAGCTTAATTTATATTCCAAGCCAAAAGAAGGTTTCTTTACTTTCTCCCTATTATTTTTAAACAACTGATGCTCTCCTGGAATTGTCTTACAAAAGGCCCCACATCACCCACCAATCATCGACTATTAATTAGGAACACTTGGAGCCATTGAGAATTGACTTGTCTCTATGGAGAGGGTAGGAAACAAAGGCATCATGGGCATGTTGCTGATGTTTCAAAATAACATCTCCAGTCTCTGGTTACAAGGTTTTACTTCAGGGAGGAAATGAGACACCAACAGAGAAAAATGAACGTTTATCCCTTTACATGTGTTATCATGCATGGTATTTCACAGCAGTTGAGGCTTTATGTTGAACCTGGGTTTGAGACTGGGCCATTTTACTGTTTTCAGGCCTGCAACTTTGCTTATGTGTTTTATTTCTTCTCTCTGAGTTTCCTTTCCTATAAAATAGAATTAGTAATAATATTTGATATTTTTTGCATATTAGATGGGGCATGTAGGAACACTTTTGGGGGAAGCAGAGTTGGGGTTTTTAATAAAGATGTTTTAAAATCCACTTAAGCGTGGTGGTTAAGAGGCCAGGCTCTCAGAAGAAAGTAGGACACACCTGAAAGCATGGGCCTGGGCTTTGGAAAGAGCAGCAGAAAGTAAGGCTTACTCATATGTGAGTGTGAGATCCTCAATAGAGCATTGCCAAAGACTATTAGTTGCTCTCCACAAACTAACGATAAAGGCCTATTGCTGAAGTCAACACTTGAATATCTCAGTGAACACAGGGAAATCAAGCTGGTGTCTAACGAGAGCCTTCACACCTACTGATTAAGGATCATAGTTCTCAAAGGTACTCGGCATGTTACCAGAGGAAAAAGGTAAGCACCAACCCAGCTACAAAACCTTCCATCCACAATGATGACCCACTTGCGGGATATACTGATAAGATGGTGGCACAAGCATCGTCAGAGTAACCAACCGCTGTCTGATTGGACTCAAGGCCCACTCTGTGAGATGGAAGTCATGCCCGACATGTCTCGGGTGGCCATGAATCGGAAACTAGATCGGCCATAGACCAAAGGAAAATGGTTTTTCTGCTAAAGGAACATGGCAATAAGATGACTCCACATGACACTCTGCTGTACCCATAGATCAGCGTCTCATCCGGTCATTACCAGGGAAGCATCATCCTACAGTTGATAGGAACTAATACAAAAGCCCACAATTGAACAGTGTGCAGAGAGTGAGACCTTGGAGCACTCAGTCCTAAATGGGATGTCCTCTCAAAACCCCTCCCCTCGGGGCTGAGGAAACTATGTGAAAGAGGAAGCAGACAATTTTAAGAGCCAGAGGGGATGGATGACACCAATGAAAGAAACTGTCTTTCCAGACAAAAGAGGACTGAAGAACTTATGAACTCTCAGAGATATGTGGCAGCATGTATAGGCTCTGCACAGGTCCAAACCAAGTCAGGTTCCCACACAGAGAGAAGTGGACATGAGCTCCCATCTCTAACCAATAAACTCTAATTGACAACAGCTTTCAAGGGAAAAAAATGCTTTTCTTCAAGTCTCACTGGGCACACAAACCACACTTAAGGGCAGACTCCCTGCCCAGCAGTAGATGCCCAACACAAAACCAATTTAATGGCATTTTTGTAGACTTCTCATCTCATAATGCTTTGTTTGGGCATTTTTACCTTACTAGTTCTTTGCTTACGTATTATGATTTCCGTTTTTGTGTTGTTTTTATGAGTTGTCTGTGTGTGTTTGCCTGTCTGCCTGAATATGTATTTCTCATGCTTTTTCTTTGTTATTTTTGTTTTGTTTTTTTTATTTGCCTGTTTTCTAAAGAGAGAATTCATGAAGTTGGAAGGGTGGGTAGGCAGGGAAGATATGGGAGAAGATGAGGGAAGGGAGCCTATCATCAAAATATGTCATATAAAATGAATTATTTTCTATAAAAAGAAGAGAGGGTTTCTAGAAAAACACTCCTGAAACTGAGAACTATAAAGATGTTAGTTCTTACAGTCACCTGTAATTTTCCATGCTGCACCTAATTTTGAAAAATTAATAAAAACTCATTTAAGTCCATTTTTATTCATGACAACACATGATTAGGAATTATATGTAAACCCTATCATACTCTAAACCATAAGTAGGCAAAGGGAACTTAGAAGGGAAAAAAGAGAGTGGGAACTTTAGAGTATAATAGGGCTGTTTCTTGGCTTATTTTTCTAAGATTTATTTATTATGAATACATCTTGCTTCATGTATGTCTGCACACCAGAAGAGGGCATTATGGATGGTTGTAAGCCACCATGTGGTTGCTGGGAATTGAACTCAGGACCTCTGGAAGAGCAGTCAGTGCTCTTAACCTCTGAGCCATCTCTCCAGCCCTTCTTGACTTATTCTTAGATATTACCTTTTTCTTCCACAAGCCCCTGCTGTCCTCAGTCTCACTAGGAGCCTTTCCCAAGCTTCCCAGCATGGAGAGGCACTTCTGAGTCTGAAGGCAGGAGGAAGAACTTCACCCTTTCTCCAGCTCC